TCTCTCTCTCTCTTACTTTTTACACATTGTTAACGAGCCTTTGTCACTGCTATAACCGGTTGGGCTCTGATGAGGCCCTGTTATTGCCGATAACTTTTAATAGAGACAAAGAGTAGGAAAAATCGGGGATTTAAAAAATCCCTGTTATTACCGGATCCCTGTTATTACCGGGCCTGTTATATATGGTTTTCACTGTATCTATGTCTCTTAGGCTGGTGGACACACAACGGAAAATTACACAGGCCTCAGCTCTTCAAATTCACCCACTCAACTGATACACTGTGAACTAGTCGCTGCAAGCTATCTTCTAAATACTGAATACAGAAGGTCTGATCTTCCGTGACGTATTCAAATTGTAGTTTGAAAAAAGGGGGGGGGGGGGGGCTCAGCTAGTCTTGTTTGAACATATTTTATTTTATTGTGTGAGTGGTGTCAGAATTTTATGAAAAAGGGGTGGGGCGGGAGTGTCATCTCGGTGGGATGAAATTATGTGTTTGTTGGTTGGTTGGGGTTCAACGTCGCTGTAAAGGAAAGATATACAGCGCTTTACTTTCGCGAGCTTTTTAATTTCGCGAGAAAGAACTTTTTTGCGAAAGTAAATAGCTTGCGAAAATAAAGCGTAAGCACAGGGGAAGCAACATTGTCGGCTCGTTTCCATAATACACATAAGTACGTAGACACCGTGATCAAGATAGGATCTTCAGCGTTAGACAGAGCAAACGAGCTATTTTTAGGTTCTCTACTACATTAGAGAACGTAAGTTCTATAGCTTGTACATGTTCTCATATCTTTCAAGCAGCGATCAGCTGAGTGGACGTTAATTTTGGTTGTCCATCGATATCGGTGATGACTGAAGCAGTATGCACCATGGACTATAGAAGGCCGCCGCCTGTGTAGCTTTGCCTGTTGGGGAATGTAGACACTACCTTGTTCTAGTTGTTATTCAAATTAGGATCTCTCTTCCATTCTCACCGACTTGTCACGGAGGCGCTTCGACGTTTCACGCAAAGACCAAAGTTCGATTCTTGTGTGGGAAGAATTCTCATCGAGTATGTTGGTCTTTGTGCTGGGATGTTGTTGTTTTTTTTTCTCAGCCTGGTTGGCCCTGACAGACATGAGGATCGAAGCCCGCCTCCTAAATGATCTAAGTTGTACCGATGTGAGACGTAAAAACAATTAGGCCTACTGGTTCAATGATTAAATTTCTTTGCTTCTCTACAGGTATAATTATATATAATTTAATTAACGTACAGTTCTTTTTGGTATTCTTATAATATATACATGTATTTATATACATTTCAAGCAGCGATCAGTTGAGTCAGCGTTAACTTTGTTTTTCCATCGATATCGGTGATGACTAAAGCAGTATGCATGATGCATTATAGAAGGTCTGTAGCTTTGCCTGTGCGATGGACAGACAAAAAACATCGGGGAAGTAAATTGCTCAAGTACTACTGCACCCCCCCCCCCCCAAAGGAAAAGAAAAATTAATCTTGACTTGGGGTGCGGAAATTTGCGCAGGGTTACACATGTATTGATGTTATCGGTGATGATGGTATCGAATAACCCTACATGGTGTGATGGTGTGGGTGTGACCAAGATTGAAGATTGGGTTTTTAATCCATTGTCCAATGGTCTACTTTTTATACAATGTTGCGTACATGGAGCCACTGACGTTTTGTGTGGGTAGCCCACATCATGGACTTCTTCGCCAAAAAGTAACTCTTGAACAAAAAATTTAAAAAGGACAAAACAGGGTATTCCGATGCAAAGAGTCACCCCACTAACGCTCAAACGAAACATCTATGCACAATGACTCGAAAAAATGTTAATGATCGGATCAGTTTGGGTATTTACTACGAGAATCGCTCGATCCAATCAATCGCGTTCCCTCTGTCGAGGAGAATGAAATTCCATTGATTTGTCCCTTTAGCTCCGGCGCTTATCCCCACAGACTGATGAATATAATATGTGGGGTATACGTAGCTTCAAGGCCGAGACGAAGAAACTAGTTAATTAGAAGTCGCACTTTGTGACGTGATTATAGCCTAGGCAGGCATGGCTTGACTCTTTAAACCAAATGTGCACACCACGTGGCTCCAGGCAAAAGCGTGGATACAAGGGCTCACGCCCCCCTCCCCCCTCCCCCCTCCACCACCCCCCCCCAAACCACCAAGCCGATCCCCACCCCCGTCTTCCCTTTTCTGTAGCTTTCTGTGATTTTTTGATTTTTTGATTTTTTTTTTTGGGGGGGGGAGGGGGGAAAAAAATGGGGTAATTGGATGGTGTCATTGAGCTTAGGTGTACATTTGAATGACATTTTGAGCGTGTGAATTTACAGTCACCAGGGGCGAAAGCTGACTTGTTTGACAGGGTAATCAAAGTGAAACGGGACCAGATATGGCCTGTAGATATGACACAAGAATCTTACTCGAGGCGGCGACTCTGAGTTGTGAATGAAAACAAATCCGGAATTCATATTGTATGTTCAACCGCCAAAATAATCGGGAAAGTATCTTATTAAATATCAGTTCCAACTAAAATTAAATTTAACTTTAGATGTGAATACATAAACACAAAGCAAAGAAGCAGAGGCGTCAGTACTAGATCTATAGGTTATAGATCTGCCAGTGAGTCTAACTCTTTGGTAGAACATGACAATTATCATTTTTTAAATTTTACATTTGGCTGTTTTTGTTAGCCTTCCGCGGCCAGGAGCTGGTGTCATAATCGAGGTCACGATCTGATTATAGGACGGTAAAAAGTCGAGGAAAAAAAGCAAGTGCTTGCAACAGTGAAGAGATTGTTAGGAGTTAGTTCCCCTCACATTTGTGAGGTAGACTCGACCAGTGTTAGTTAGCTTACATAATCAGGGCTTCAGATTGATTTTAACTGTGACCCCAAAGGGGTGAACAGGGTATATGTGGCAATGAAACAGCTATGCACATGTTCCCTTCAACTATATTGGTGGACTCTTCCAGCCTCACTTTAAGCTTACTTAATCAAAGCTTACGACTGCTTATGGAGTGGCCCAAGAGGGGTGAGGAGGCTATTTCTGTGGCCGTGAAACCGTTTTGAATGTTAGGCATACTGTTCATTGTTGATTACGAACGTCTTTTGACATTTAATTTAAGAGGTTTACGTTTATGGATGAATTTGACAGCGACAATGTTTCAAAATTAGGAAGGGAAGCAGTGATTATTTGATTATATAGACGCTTCGCCCCTGACAGTCACTGATGTTTTGTGTACTGTAGCCTCCTGTATTCACTTGGCCTTAATGTTCTATGTGTATTTTGATCGGAAAAACGATTTTTATTGTATCAGATAGTTGAGAAGCAATGAATCACTTAGAATACTTAATGTTAATAGAAACTTGCTTTAGTTATTTAAAAAAAAATCACGTCAAGATAAGCTAATTTGCTATTATAAGAGGCTGGGGTCACATCAACTCGCAAAATTGGTGTATATGTTGTGGATGGAAGTTTTTAATCATGAAGGAAATAAAGCTCAACCAAAATGTCACCAGCAAATTTGCTCAGCATAAAAAAAACCCCCAACAACAACCGAAGGACACAAATCATGTGCACGTATACACTCTCTGATTTTAAATGTGTATTGCCATTTGCAAGATAATAGATAATACTTTCGAACATCTTTACATTTTCACTTTGTCTTTGTATATGCATGTTGCCTCTTTAGTTATGATGTACCCTTTATAATCGAAGCAATCTTAATATAATGTTTGTTCTCTCAAGCCCCACCCTCTTTACAACCCACCCTACGTTACGCCACTGCATGTATAATTTTGTAAGAGCGACAGCGCCAGATCGTCATTTTTTTGTACAATTTATCGTCATGTGTAATATCAATATCTGACCTTCACAGCTGCACTCACCAATTTATACTTGTTTATCTTTTCTAAGGATTCTTAGGTGGGGGCAGTGGTATTGTAGACGATATAAGCGTAGGGATGTAATACGATACATGCATCTATAATTATAATGATTTGGCATAGCCTACTGTTCTAGCTTGTACATCCTCGATCTTGCAAATGTTTTATGCAGTGCGATATTAACAGCGAAATGGCATATGTTCCAGCTACAGAAGAAATGAAACTCTTTTTCCTTAATGAAATTTTGGTAGCAATATATACCCCTCATGCTGTAGATTGTGTTTGAAATCTTTGCTTTATGGCGAGGCTTCTCAAAACTCGAATAGAAGCGGAGTATTTTTTTTTCCTTCACAGATTCACCCCCGCCCCTTTTCTCTTTCCCTTTTTTTTCCCTCACCAAAAATGGAAAGCGTTCTTATCTGTTTTCCAGGATACCTGGGTCGTTTAACTTTAATTTAGGCCTTAAAATATTATATAATAATTATAATTATTATAAATTGATCTAGGATAATGCTCGAACAATTTATTCGTTTTTACGAGTACTCGAGTTTTGTGCTCGTTTCACCACGACTACGACTACAACACACCAACACACAACACATAATTGCCTAGAATTAAGAGTGATTGTTCCATTGTTCACTTCACTCAATTCAATATCCGTCGACTGTAGATCTACAGTAACTAGTGACTACATCGGAGGGGATGCTGAGAGCAATTTCAGGTAAATTTTATTTAATCTAGATGATCTGTGGAGTCAAAGCAAGATTTGAAAACGAAAGTAGAGAATCTGCAGCTAAATCGTAAGGTCTGAATCTAAAAAATGCACTTTGAAAGTTTAGACTACTGGTGCCGGTGCAGACAGGACAGGCTAGGGTGAAGAAAGACAAAGTGAAAGTGAAGTGAAACGAGCTAGATCTAGATCTAGATCTAGATTTAGATTATAGATCTAGATCTAGAGGCTAGATCTATTCTAGAGTCTAGATCTAGATCTAGACAGATCTACTATTAAAATTTAGGCTGGCTCTATTTCTCCGAACGTTCCGGAAAATAAACTTGAACTCTATTTCTCCTAACGGTTTCCGTTCTCGAGATTTGTTGATCATTATTATTATTGCGAATGGAGTGGTCCGTGAGTATGTGTGTGTGTGTGTGTGTGTGTGTGCGCGTTTGTGTGTGTGAGTGTGTATGTGTGTGTGTGTGTATCTCAAACTATCTGTCTGTCTGTCTGTGTGTAGGCCTAAGGTGTGAACGGGGCATGGGGGCGGAGGGGGGGGCGTGGAGGGATTTTTTTACATGACATGAAGTGAAGGATTTTGTTTTTTGTTTGAAGACTAAAACCGAAAATATAAATATGCAAAATGGGTTACTGCCAAGGTCGATCAGTCTTGTTTTCTCGCAGTACCTTTTGAAGGCATTTTCAAATGAAGTATAGTCCGGGAACGTTGCCCCAACCACAACTGAAGTATCTGAATACAGTGAACATTCTGACATTTAAAAATCTACCTCTAGAAATTGAATTTGATGCAAAAAATGCTTCTTCCCAGTCCTCGCAGCAATCAATGGCAGAATGAAAGATGACGCCTACCTCTCGCAAATAACTAAAAGATCTCGAGAACGGAAACCGTTCGGAGAAATAGTCACTTCGTAAAATTTATGCATGGTTGAAGGTGTGTGTGTGTGTGTGCGCGCGTGCGTGCATGCATGCGTGAATGAGTCTGTGTGTGTGTGTGTGTGTGTATATCTGAAGGGGATGGATGAAAGAAGATCATCCGGTAATTGTTTACATTCTCGTGTTTAATTCCCGGGGAGGACTTCTGTTACGAGCGACCACTCTGAACTCTTATTATATTACTCAATTGCCATCAAAATGAGTACAGAAGGCCTTACGATACTAGATCTACCTACAAATATATATAATAAAACTGCCGTGGTTTACGTATTCTTAACTCAAACGCAAAGTTTTGAATATCCGGTCGGGGATGCATAGATTTTCATCTAGATATCTAGATCTAGATTCTAGATCTAGGTGGGGCCGGAATCAAACACGAGAAAGTAAACATTTCCGATCATCCTTCCTGCTCTTGAAAATTCAGCTGGCGGCAACTTTTGCCTTTGAACAGAAGCTGCTTCCCAATAAGGTTGCCATTAGTTAGGAGGTGGACACCACTGTGTTAATTAAATAAAGTCAACGTCATTCCATAATCACTCAAATCAATTTGATGGGGGTTTCCAGATCTGCAGGCTAGGTTCATGGCGCCGTGAATGTAGTTGGCAGGCTACGTTCACGGCGCCCTGAATGCAGTTTGCAGGCGCTGTTGAGGCTACGTTCACGGCACTCAAGCTTCGTTTAGACGGAGCGTCTACTGCCAGTTTAAAGCCTTGCATTACCCCCTCATGCAGCATTCCAATTTAAAGCTAAATAAATTCTTCATCATCTGACACATTAATATTTAATCTATTTTAAGAGATGCCCGAGATATTGTCACTCAAAATTGACTTAAAAAAAATAAGGCTTGGCTAAATTGTGCGAAATCAAAGAAACGTAAAATTGTCTTTGCGCATTAATTTATTAAAGAATATCAATATTGATCGAATGGCGATATATTGAATGCCCAATGAATGGAGAATTGTGTCTTTGCAATAAACTATATCGTCGGCCTTGTGATAAAACCGGCTAACCCCAGCGAGGTAAATTTTACAGGAGAAGGAAAAAACTGTTTTATTTCAAAACAAAGGTGTCTAACGATAAATCAATGCTTTAAACAGTTATAAAAACACTTTACCGAAAAACTGTAGACCTTTTTTTTTCTTAAAAAATCGCTTTTAATGAAACTGCGTGGGTTAGACGGTTATGTCGCTCAAATTTATCCCGATAAAACCGACCAACCCTCAATTTTGTGGGTTGGCCGGTTTTATCAGGAAGCCACTGCTGGCCTCGAGTTTGGTTGAGTGCAGCCAAGCCACACTTGATTGTAACGTATTTGATCAGTTCTTCAATCGTCGTGATCTTTTGTAGAAGAAGAAGGAGAAGGAGAAGAAGAAGAAGAAGAAAAAGAAGAAGGTTGAGGAGGAGGAGGAGGAGGAGGAAGATGGTGAGGAGAATAAAGGAGGAGGAGGAGGAGTAAAAAGGAAGAGGAGGAGGACGATATTACTGCTACCAACATACTATCAGCTGCTGCCATTTCAGTGCTACGGAGTCAATTCTGGCAAAAACAGCAGTCACAAATTGGAACAATTTAATAGAAGTAGAAGAAGCAGAACACAGCAATGGGTATATTAATTATATTTGAAGTAGAAGAACAGGAGGTTCGAATAGTAAGGGAGAGCAGCTACATCAACAACAACAAAAACAACAACCACAACAACAAAAACAAAAACAAAAGTAGTAGCAGTAGCATCAGCAGGCCTTTAGAATGTATGACAGTGTCTGACACGGTACTATTGGCACAAAAAGTAATACTAAGAAAGAAATGAAAGCAGAAAGCCACAGAGAAGCTCTGCTACCTCAGCAATGGTTTGAGTGAAGTTGGCTTCATAATAATATATTACTATTATACAAAAAGACTTTGTAGGTATCAAAGAATGCGCCAACTTTCTTCAAGGTGCGTGGCTTGACAACTACTACATTATTGAGTTTTCTCAACAATAGAAGAGCATGTCTGTCTCACTCTGTGTCCTGTGGCTATAACAAGGCAATACGACAAAAGTTACCATTGTTTTGAAAGACTCAACAATAATTGAATTTGACTTGATCGCTTTCAAAACGTCCCACTGAGGCAAAGTTTCATGGTAATTGTGGTAGCATCGTGGTAGGACCGCCTTCAACTCCAGTAGATGTTTAAACTGGTTGGCAGTTATCTTCAATCTGTCTTTGCAGAGAGGTCCAGCAGTAACCGTCTTACACAGGGTGTTCAGCTTTCTTGGTCCTTGCAGCGCCTGCCATCCATCATCAAAGTTCAGCTTGTACTGGATTTTAAAGTATGGAGTGTACTTTGAAGCCTGCAAGTCAGTGACAGTCGGATCGCCTGCTTTTCTCCCTGGACGGATTGTTTAGTGCTCTCCGACCTTTACGAAATCTTTGAAAAAGCTGTGGCCCAGGTACATAACTTCATAGGACCTGGGGATGCGTCTGGCTTTGAGCATGATGTTCACGTAGTCCATTGGGATGTATATCAGTGCGTTTTTTAGCGATCGCTCAATAGTGGCCCTTGGTGAGAATTTCTGCTCAACTGTGATGTCAAGCTCTTTGGCCACCGAGGCCATTGCACTCACCAGGGTGGCATTTCTGTTTTAGTAGTTGCGTCAATCACTGCAGATGATGAAGTGGTTGAAGTCAGTCACTTGCAATCTAAGGTAGTGAGTCAAACATGATGAAAACTGTTGGAGTTCAGACCACCTTCACTTTCATCCAGGACATATCATCTGGCGTCTCTGGTGGCAAGTTCCTAAATCGTAAAACTATGTACAGCCAGTTTTGTTTTATAATATAAGGCGAGTGTCAGTGATGGTGCCAGGAGGACGCGCTGGGTCTTCATACAAAGGACACACACTTTGTTCTGGGTTCAGTGCAGCCTCCCTGTCCTTCTCCTTCTCTGCTCGAGCTGCAGCTTTCCTCATATTCATAAATTAAAATTATTGATGAGCTGTACATTTTATTTCTGTGAGGTTTCCAGACTGACTCAAAGCTGGTGCAAATGTCGCACTGCTCTTTTTCGGTTGATAGAAAACCCAAATTGTTTTTCTTGAAGTTTTGGCAGAACACTTGATAGCTCAATGTTTTTATTTTTCTGTCTCTCTGCTCTTTTCTCCATGTATACTCGATGCATATCTGAAGTTTTCTGGACTGTCATCTGTAGACAGGAGGATTTCTTCCTAAGTTTGTCCAAAATTACTCTTTATGGAACAACTTGTCATCATCGGCTCTCTCGTGGTGGGCATGATGTGTTCTTGGGGGGGCTCTTGTTCTTTTTCGGAGAAGACACTTTAAATAAACCAGTGGGTCAGGCCTGCAGTGTTCGTGAAGATTGGTTTACAAACAGGTGTTCTTTGACCATTGACTCTTTTAAGTGATATTGAAGGCTGTAATTTCTCCTTGGGTTTACACTTGCTGTGTAAGATCACTTTTTGTCTATCCTGTTTATCATGGCATACACGTAGGCTCTCTTTTCTTTCCAAGAGGGTGAGCAGTAATGTCATTGCATTTTGTACCAACCAGTTTACAACTGCAAAGGACGTTAAGTTCACACCCTGCTCGCTTTGTGCCTTGACAGGTGTAGAGGCATTCCCAGTTCTTTCAACCTCTTCCTTTTGTTACCCTTCCTATCGTTTTCATGCCGTGTCCTTTTTGCAGAGATCAATGGTGACAAAACTGTTGCATTATCAGCTGATGTGACATTAGCTTGGTAATGTTGATCACTTTCCACTGCGCTGAGGGTCAGAGGTGACGCAGCAAGAGTAGCATCATCTTATGGAATGTTATTGTGTTCCGTAAGTTAAGGTTTGACATAAGGATAAAGCATTATGTTATGACACTGAGAAAATAATCTAAACAAAACACAAACGAAATGAACTTTCAAAGAAAGTCGAAAGATGTTTCAGAAGGTAATGACTGCAATAAACACTGCAAATGAAGAAAGAAGCACTTTTTTAAAAAAACATTGAACGTTAGGGGCTGACGGTGTGCTGGACAGGTCCCACATTTTTTCTTTGGAGTGAGTTAGT